ATCTTCCGAAGAATTTTTCTCTCGAATGCTCCTAACGCCTTCTCATCACTGTTGGTAATTGTCCAAGCTTCTGCACCATACAGCAGGACAGGCATGATAAGGGATTTGTAGAGCGTGATTTTTGTTTGTCGAGAGAGGGCTTTATTTCTCAATTGCTTACTTAGCCCGAAGTAACATTTGTTGGCAAGAGTAATTCTTCGTTGAATCTCTAGGCTGACGTCATTTTTGGTGTTTAAGCTGGTTCCTAAATAAATAAAGTCTTTCACAACTTCGAACTTATAATTGTCAACAGTGACGTAGGTCCCAAGACGCTCAGGAGATTTGTTTGTTGACAGAAAGTACTTTGTTTTGTCCTCATTTACCACAAGACCCATTTGCTTTGCTTGTTTTTCTAAGTTGGAAAATGCCGCACTGACGACGCGGGTGTTCAGACCAATGATATCAATATCGTCGGAATACGCAAGCAGCATTACACTTTTTTAGAATATTGTGCCAGTACGGTTTAAATCTGCTGCTCGAATTATCGTTTCCAACATTAGGTTAAAGTAGTCACACGACAAGGAGTCACCCTGTCTGAAACCTCGTTTGGTATCAAACGGCTCAGAGATGTTCTTTCCAATTCTAACGGAGCTGGTGGTGTTGCTCAACGTCATTTTACATAGCCGTATAAGTTTTGCTGGGATACCAAATTCAGACATAGCGGCATAGAGTGTGCTTCTAGTCGTAGTGTCAAAAGCAGCTTTGAAGTCGACAAATAGGTGGTGTGTTTCGATTTGTTTTTCTTGAGTCTTCTCCAGGATTTGACGCACTGTGAGTATCTGGTCTAGAGTGGATTTGCCAGGTCTGAAGCCACACTGATAAGGTCCAATCAGTTGGTTGACGATTGGCTTCAATCTTTCACATAGTACGTTTGACAGAACCTTATATGCGATATTTAAAAGACTGATCCCGCGGTAGTTGGCGCAGTTTGCAGGATCACCTTTTTTGTGGATTGGGCAAAGCACACTTAAATTCCAATTGTTGGGCATGCATTCATCCGACTAAATGTTGCGAATTAGCTGTAGCATGCATTTTGATAGCTCTTCGCCACCAGCTTTAAACAGCTCAGCCGGTAAACCATCGGCGCCTGCAGCTTTGTTGTTTTTGAGCCGCGTTATAGCTGTTTTAACTTCATTATGATCGGAAGGCGGGACGATTATTTCATTGTCAACGATTGAAAATTCGGGATTATCTTCGCTTTCAGTCATATTGCTACTACCGCCATTTAGTAGTTTCGAGAAGTGATCCCTCCAAATATTAAGCATGCTTTGGACATCTATCACCAGATTACCGTTTTCATCTTTGCAGGAATTAGCTCCGGGTTTATAACCATTTGTCAGGCTTTTAATTTTTTGATAGAATTTTCGAGCCATATTCCTGTCGCCCAGCTTCTCAAGCTCTTCGTACTCACGTCTTTCTGTTTCCTTCTTTTTTCGCCTGAAAAGACGTTTCTCTTCCCTTCTCTTTTGCCGATATCGCTCTTTAACAGCGCGCGTCGCAACTGACCGCAGGGTGGCTTGATATGCTGCGTCTTTCTCTGCGGTAGCATTGCGACACTCTTGGTCGTACCAGCTGTTCTTTGTATACGGTGATAGCCGATCACCTCTTCTGCAGCGGTACGCATAGAGTTAGAGATGTGGTTCCATTGCGCGCATATATCGGCTTCTTCAGATGAGTTTTCCAGATATTGGGAGAGTCGAGTAGCGAAGTCATTAGCTGTCTGTTGTGATTGCAGCTTTTCGACGTCTAGCTTTCGCTGTGCTTGTTCACGTACCTTTTTCATCGCACATAAACGTGTGCGGATCTTGGCTGCAACAAGGTAATGATCCGAGTCGATGTTGGCTCCAGGGATAGTACGTACATCCAAGACACTGGAAGCATGCCTTCCGTCTATCACAACGTGATCAATTTGAGATCTTGTGTTTTGATCAGGTGACAGCCATGTTGCCTTATGTATGTTGAGATGCTGGAATCTGGTACTACTAACCACCATGTTTCTAGCCGCGGCGAAATCAATCAGCCTTCTTCCATTATCAGAAGTTTTCGTGTGAAGGCTGAACTTTCCGACAGTAGCACCAAAGATACCTTCTTTACCCACCTTTGCGTTGAAGTCTCCAACAACTATTTTGATGTCATGATGGGGACAGCGTTCATATGCTTGTTCAAGTTGTTCATAGAAAATTTCCTTGGTGTCGTCATCTTTATCTTCCGTCGGGGCGTGCGCACATATTAGAGTGATAAAGAAAAATTTTGCCTTAATCCGGATTTTTGCGAGCCTTTCGTTTATTGGTGTAAACGTTGAGACCAAATTTCTCAGCTTTTGGCCTACCGCAAATCCGACTCCAAACTGTGTGTTGACTAGTCATAGAAAATTATCCCAAAGCATCTATCACTGCAAGATGTCCCTTGACAGATGACAAAAACAAAATAATATGTTGAAATAAGAATATGGCGCAACATGCATCATAAAACCGTAAAATGAATATGTGAGTTATGCTTAGCACTGCCTGCTTGCATGTGTAATAAAAGCGATTATTTCATTATTTACATGAATGCCATTGAATTTGAAATTTTTATCACATGGCGCAGTTATTGTAGTTCACTATGCTACTTTTACTTTCTCTAGTTGTTATTAGTATTTTAAATTTGATTATAACGTCAATTTGGCAGTAGTGACTATATTTATATAATAGAAACTATTGTATTTAATAGAGAGGCTTCCAATAATAGTGAACTACAAAACAACTAAAATTCTTTTTATATTACTTTAATTTATTGATTTTTGGTTGACCATATAGCTGTTTCAAGTATTACTAAATACTTATCATCAGTGGTCTTAGAAATAATTTTTATATATAAATACTCGTAAATAATTTTTCTGGGACTGCAAGTACTAAGGATTGAACTCGTGCTCTGCCAAATTTTTTATTACTATTATCAAAAAGTTGTGCTGTATTATTAGTTTCCTATTATATTTATTTAATAATTATTAATTCATTTATTATTAATTAATTTATAAAACTTGCTCCATTTTTCGTTCAACCATAAATTTACACTTGCTTAGCACTGCTTAGCACTCAGACCAATCAATGCATTCTCAATTAGATATCATTTTGTTAACTGGCATCTTTCACATAACAGAAACCTAGCATCAAAAAATTTCGGGCAATGGTAAGAGAAGCATTCGCTGAGACATTGTTATATGTTCTCTCACTGTGATTATCATCTCGCTTTCACTGCATCATGATTTATCTACAACTTTAAATTAAGTTCATATTATGCAAAGAAACTCTCTTTAGAGACTAAACAACAGATTCAACGGATAGCGCTGTACTACTATTCCTTCTAATATTATTTTATACTTTTTTAAGCAGAAATATTTTCTATAAAAAATTGTGCTAAAAAAACAAGAACAATTTATGAGAGTTAACTTATTTAATATAGCTGTAGTTAATATGTTAGTTCTAAAAATAGCACAAAAAGTGAGATTGTTTACGAATACACAACAAAAAAAAAAAAAACTCTAGACTAGAATAATACAAATGAAGTTTGTGTTGAGTTTATAACATATATCAAAAATTGAAATTATGCACTGTATAAGTGCATTAAAAACTATTCTACTTTTAAAAATCACATTTCCTTTATTATGTTTTACAGATAAATGTACTTATAATGAATATATGAAACTTTACTATAAATCTTATTAATTATTTACTATAAATTTTATCTGAGTTTAAACTCAGTTATTTAATAAACCAATATGAAGTTACGGAATTCAATTCTGGGAAACAGCAATGCCATCAAATATTGAAAAACTGCAGACTGCAATATAACCTTCATAGAGGTTTGGGCATACCAACAGTAATAGAAGAAACTGCTCGATGTAGTCATCAGTACCTTCTAAAGTTAGAAGATCATCTTCACCAATCAGGTTACAAGCTGCTACTGAACAAATGCCACAAACGTTTAAAAAATAAAGACACTATTAATATCTGCTAACTTTTTAAACAGTTATTTTATTTAAAATATCACAAATTTTATTTTATTTTGGACGTGATTTTTGAATTTTTTTTTTTTTGAGATCCATTTATTTTATTACAATCTGTCAATTATGAATGACAATAAGTAATATGTATAATTATAAATCGTAATAATATTGTTACGTAATCGCCTGCGTGATTATTCGAATCTCAGGATTTTGTAAAAAATGAAACGAATTATTAGGATTGGAGAAACTATACTTATATATTTTGTGGATTACAAAGAACTAGTATTAATTAGGAGTCAATTTAATAAAAACCACAGTTTCACACCAATCAAATTCAAACACTAACTTTTTATAAAAATATTAATTGACGTAATGTTTAAATAATATTTAAACATTTCATTGCTACTCTGATGAAATTCGCAACATTGCCCTCCTCTTAAATCTGTTCGTCCCGAACTGGAATTACCATATCCTTGCAGTTAGGTGCCAGCCGTTCCAGATGCACCACTTTCTTTTGAGCTCTATGATGCCCCGACTGTTGAATTCGATAAACACCATCACAGATCTTCGTTCCATCAAGAACAGGGGGCTCCAAACAAACATCACAACATCTTCATTAGACACAAATTGTGAACACACACCGTTCTCATTCAAGATTTTCAATATTTGCTTACTTACTAATTGCAGAAATTCTATAAATTCTATATTTATTTACAAATTGCTTATCCTATACTTCTAGCTATTGGGTGGAGATTTTGAGTATCACCATCATCATTAACATTTCAGTTCCTGGTCAATAGGAGCGGTCTTCTGATAAATCGATGAATTTCATCTAATTGGTTCCGCTTACTTCCAGTGTAGTCACACTGGAATTCCGAATTTTAAGCCCGCGTCATCTGAGTCACCCTTATAAACCACCATTTGCAAACAGCTGTCACTATCATCAATGCTACTTACGTTAGGCGCAACAAACTTGTCAATGCATTGAGTATGCCAATCAGGAATGTACTGATCAACAAAAACCGCACCATCAGATATATCAATATCTGTTGTATAATCCTCATTATTTGTTCTATCCGAAACAAACAAGACATCCCTGACATCAGCATCAAATTTACTATCCGTAGCCAATACGTCATCTGCGATATCCTTATGAAACAAGACATTTCCATTAATTGTCACGTTCTCATCATCTATGAGGTCGGCATCAACGTTTAATGGTATATCTTTATAAGATTACGTATCCGCGACCAACAAGCCCTCTGCGATCTCCGCATCATATTTGATTTCCTGATTAACACGAAATCATAACTACCTAAACCGAAATAGTCTTTCCTCCTTTTCTTTCTTCTCTTTCTTCTGTTTCTTTTTTCCCTATTCATTATTTGAATCAGTCTTCTTCTTCCTCTTGTCTTCTCTCTTGTCTTCTCTCTTATTCTTCTTTCCTTTCTTCTCTTTCCTCTATTTCTTTTTACCTTCTTACTTGTCTTTCTTCTTGCCTTCCCCTCTGTCTTTCCTTCTGTCTTCCTTCTTGTCTTTCTTCCTGCCTTCACTCTAGTTTTCATTTTCCGTACTTTTGCTGTAAAGGAACACATTATACCGGCAGCTTCGTACGTCAAAGCGCCGCTAACCGTTTCAGAGTATGTCTCCTTTGAGAAGATTACGACCTGACGCTTAGTTTCCGGATCACGTATACCGTCTATTAAAGTATCGACTTTACTCTTCACCATAATATCACCAGAGCTACCAATGTAAACCAAGTTACACAACCGTTCAATGTCGGCAGAGTACTCTCCAGGACTCTCGTCAACAGGCGGGGCTCTTGCTTCCAGTATTACCCTGTGTAATGGAGCCATAGAAACGTTGCCGTACTTGCGCTCCAATGTATCCATTACAGCTTGGTAGCTTTTATGTTGTTCGGGTGGAATTTGTTTTAAAACTTCTGCCGCACTACCTTTTAATGCCACAATCAGTGATTCCGTTTTCTCACCAATATTCCAATTATTTGTTGCAGCCGCTTTTTCAAATTTGAGTTTGAACACTTCAAAAGCCTCGCTCGGGTCCTTTCTTTTCGATCACCTTTTTTGGACTTGTTGTAACTCCAACTTTAATTCGACAAAATTTTGTTCTAATGTCTGCGTGATTTCACTAAATTGTTGTTCCAGCTTTTCTTCCAACATACGTAAGCCGTGCGCCTGTTCTGCAGAATTTTTCTCAAGCTTCTGCATCATTAAGTTCATGATTGCCATCATTTCACAATTCGTGTCAGATTCTTCATCGAGGAACTCGTGTTCTTCTTCATATATGCCATTAGCCTCCAACTCCTCACGAAGTCTCAACTGCAGTTCCGCTTTCGCACCACCTGTGCCAAGTCCCACTTTCTTCAACTGCTCTTTCAGTTGAACCACAGTCAATTCTTCCAATTTCATCATTTTACAAAATCCCACTTCTGACAACAAATGTTACGTAATCGCCTGCGTGATTATTCGAATCTCAGGATTTTGTAAAAAATGAAACGAATTATTAGGATTGGAGAAACTATACTTATATATTTTGTGGATTACAAAGAACTAGTATTAATTAGGAGTCAATTTAATAAAAACCACAGTTTCACACCAAACAAATTCCAACACTAACTTTTTATAAAAATATCAATTGACGTAATGTTTAAATAATATTTAAGCATTTCATTGCTACTCTGATGAAATTCGTAGCAATATTTATTACGATCTAAAATAATGAAAGACACATATGGACTATGCCCAGTGACATATCTATATATATTTAAAGTAACAGTGTGTAATTTACATATACATATCAAAATATCTCTAGATGCTTTCCTTCTCAGCCCTGTAAAAGTGTTGGAAGGGGACATCAGGTGTGTCACCTTCTTGTTGTCCGAACATGTAGTTGTTTATGCAGCTGTTCATTCGTTATATACCAAGGTGCATTTGTGATCATCCGCAAAGTTTTAGATTGGAAACGCTGAATAATTGCTCGGTTTGAGTCTGCTGCAGTACCCCACAATTGGGCCCCATAACTCCATATAGGTTTTAGTACAGATTTGTATATGAGCAGCTTATTGTCAAGCGACACTTTGGAGTTTCGGCTGTGGAACCAAAATAAGATTCGTAATTTAAGACCCAGGGCCTTACGCTTTTTGAATATGTGTGATTTCTAGGTTAGCTTACTATCCAGATGTGTGCCCAAGTATTTTGTTTCTACAGCGGGCACGTAGAACGTTTTGTAGTAAATGTTACATGGACAGATTTTGATTCATTCGGTTTGATACGCCAGTTTTTCATCCAGAGAGCAACATCGTTAAGGCAGGTTTGAAGTTTGGTGGAAGCACGGATTGGGTCACTGTCAACTGATAAAAAGCTGTGTCGTCTGCAAATGTACCGATAAGGAGAAGATCCGCAGTATATAAAAGATAAAGCATTGATCCCATTATGCTACCTTTAGGTACTCCTGCTCTTATATCATGAAGTTTCGTTTCCATGCTTAATGAAAAAGTGTCTTGCCGAGAGGTATGATTTTATAAATTTGAAAAAATTTAGGGGTAGATTCAGTTTTAGTTTGAAAAGAAGGCCTTCATGCCATACTCGACCAAAAGCTTGTGAAATATCTATAAATGCAGCAGTAAAATATTTTGTACCATATATCGCACTATGGATATGTCTGACAAGTCTATGAATTTGTTCTATTGTGTTTTTGTTATTGGCGAAAGCCAAATTGATGGTCAGGGATGAGTCTGTTTTGTTGGATAATCGGTGTAAGGCGCTTTAGAAACAGGATTTCCATAACTTTCGACAGGATTGGAAGTAGACTTATTGGGCGATATGATTTGACGTTTTCTGGGCTTTTCCCTGGTTTCAGTATCATGGAGATTTGCGCTTTCTTCCACTGTGGCGGAATAAATCCACTTACTATCACAGCGTTAAATAAATAAGTCAGAAATACAAAGCCTTTTGGTGGAAGCCGCTGCAAGGCCATGGTTGTGATTAAATCGTATCCTAGAGCTTTTTTTACTTTTAACTTTGTTATTATATCCCTAACTTCATTAATAGTATATCTTTTAATTTGAAGTTCCAATTGATAAAGCTCTTGTAGAAAATTTATCCTTTGTTTCATGATATCAGGCATATTGTCGTTATCATTTGGTTTAAAGATCTGGTCCAAATGTAACGCGAATATTTCTGCTTTTTCAATATCGCTTTTTGCCCATGAGTTGTCTATTTTGCGTATAGGTGGTTGATAAGCAATCGGTCTGTTAATCTTTTTAATGGCTTTCCAAAGGGAGTAATTTGTATCACATGAAGCACTTAGATTTTGGAGGTATAGAGACGTGCGATTATTGTTATACTTTAAGAGTAGAGCTTTAACGAGTTTACATAATTTGTTTAAGCGAGTTTTATCGGTAGGGAATCTCGTCCTTTGCCAATGTTTTCTTATCCTACGCATTTTTTTGATCAGGTATCTCATGTTAAATGGATAATCTTGCTTAACACTTTTAGGAAACAGTGGAGTTGATTCCCATGCAGACATTTGGACACAAGAGTTGAAATGCTCTACTGCTTCAGTTACATCAGATTCAGTTTTCAACCTAACTTCGGTATTTAGACCAATTGTAATTAGTTGACGATAATTGTTCCAGTCAGTATTTTTGTTATGAAGAATATATTTTTCCATAATTTCACAGCAGTCATTGAGAGTGATTATTGTTGGCGAGTGGTCTGATGACAAGTCGAAATTGGACTTACAGGTAGTAGTCTCGATTCGTACCCCCTTTGATACCGCAAAATCAATTAAGTCAGGTATTTTTCTTCTATCTGTTGGCCAGTATACAGTGAGATTGTGTGTAGATTGAGTACATTTATTGCTTCGAAAAGTTGTCGTCCTTTTGGAGATATTAGGCGGGAATCCCATTTTAAGTGTTTAGCATTAAAATCTCCGCCTACTAGGAACCTAGATTCAAGCAGCCGAAAAAATGATATGTACATATCCTTCGAGATACTGTGGCGTGGTGGGCAGTAGAGTGATGAGAAAGTCTGTCGCCTTCTTTAGTTTGTACTACAATGTTTGTTGCCTGAATTTCATTCGTGCAATATGGTTTTACTGCATAATGATTTATCGATTTCCTTATGAGGACCGCAGAGCCTCCATTTCCTTTACCACTGGGATGCATTGTGTGATAAAGTTCATAGTTCGGGATTTTAAAGAACTACGCGTCGTAAAATGGGTTTCTGATACCATCATTATGTCGACATGGTTTATTTTTAAGAATGCTTTTATTTCGACAGCATGTTTTGATAGACCATTAGCGTTCCATATGACTACTACTAAATCAAGAATTTTGTTTAGTCGTCAAGTTGATCAGTAAATTTGTCATTACTACGATTTGTTGCATCATGTGCTTCAATAGCGATGTCGTCTCACGGAATTCTTCCACAAAATTATTTGGAATTGGTGATAGCTTCTCCTCTGTTGCGCTACAGGTGTCTGACTTCACTATTTGTGCGAATGTTTGAGATGATTGAGAATTCGTGATGTGATTTTTGTTTAGAGAAGGAAGAGGATTTGCACATCCGGCGCCCTAGACCTTAATTGGGGATACATTTGTTTTTGCAGATTTTTGTATATTTGATATCCTTTGTAGTTGGCCGGATGATTTCCCTCACATAAAACACATTTGACATCATTTGATCTACTTTTCCTTTCGCAATTTACAGATGCATGGTTTCCAGCGCATTTAATGCATTTGGGTTTGCGGTGACAGTATCCTTTCGTGTGCCCATACTGCTGGCAGTTTGCACATTGAAGAATTTCACGTTTCGGGTGAGGTGGTTCAAATGTAACTGTAGTATATAAGAGTTTCTTAACCAAATAGATATCTTTATTGTTTAGGTTTGTTGCAAGTTGAATAATAAACATGGGAAGGGGTTCTCTTGACCCTCTACGCTTAATGTTCCAAAAGTTTACAGCCGTATGTTCTTGCTCCAACAGTGCATTTTTGATTTCATCAATATCGGTTGAATGATGCAAATTTTTTAATATAACCCTAAAGCTTCTCTCGGTTTTTGGTTTGTAAGTGAAAAATTTAGTGTTTTTAAGTTCCAACTGTTTTACAATGCTTATGTATGAGTCAGATGTAGAAGGTTGAACTCTTACTTGACTTGGATTTAGCACTTTTAAGTTGTATTGATTAGCCGCATGTTCATTTAATACATCTATTAGAGGCTTGATGCAATGCACCTTATCAATAAATATAGGTGGAGGTTTCAGTATTTTTGGAACTGTATCATTATTTTTTAACAATTCTTCAGTTTCATCAGAGTCATCTACCCGAAGATCTGCGTAACGGTTTGGTTTGACGGGTTCGTTTAGCCAGTATGAGTCTAGCTTGGTTTGTTTTTGACTTGTTTGATGATTTTTACTTGGACTATCGCGTTGACGTTTACGATTATTAACTACTGTCCAAGTGTCGTTGACAGAGGTAGCGTTTCTGGTGGCTAAAGCTTGATTCGAACCTTTGTCTTGGAGAAGGTTATTTTTTTAATCATTATACAATTTTTGAAGCTATTGCTGAAGTTGTAGAATTTGTTGTTGTATATTTTTCACCTGAACTGATTTAACTGTTTTACCTTTTAGTTGACCCGAAGTCGCATTGCTTGGTGCCTGTAGCGTGTTAGTTTCTTTGCGTGTATTGATTTGTACTGTTTCGTGTTGGTTTGGGGAACTATGTTATAACTTTTCGTTTTTATTATTTATTAATTTAATTTTATTAGCGATGACAATTTCGCTAGCTATTTTTGTTATACTTGATTCAATTTTTGAATTTTCTAAAAGTTTGTTTAGGGAATGATTTATTATATTCGTGTCATCTGTGTTC